AGTGAGACACTGGTAGTGAGACACTGCTAGTGAGACACCGCTAGTGAGACACTGGGTAGTGAGACACCGCTAGTGAGACACTGGGTAGTGAGACACTGGGTAGTGAGACACTGGGTAGTGACACACTGGTAGTGAGACACTGGGTAGTGAGACACTGGGTAGTGAGACACTGGGTAGTGAGACACCGCTAGTGAGACACCGTTAGTGAGACACTGGGTAGTGAGACACCGCTAGTGAGACACTGTTAGTGAGACACTGGGTAGTGAGACACTGGTAGTGAGACACTGCTAGTGAGACACTGCTAGTGAGACACTGGGTAGTGAGACACTGGGTAGTGAGACACTGGGGTAGTGAGACACTGCTATTGAGACACTGGGTAGTGAGACACTGGGTAGTGAGACACTGCTAGTGAGACACTGGGTAGTGAGACACTGCTAGTGAGACACTGGGTAGTGAGACACTGGGTAGTGAGACACCGCTAGTGAGACACCGCTAGTGAGACACTGCTAGTGAGACACTGGGTAGTGAGACACTGGGTAGTGAGACACTGGGTAGTGAGACACTGCTAGTGAGACACTGGGTAGTGAGACTCTGCTAGTGAGACACTGCTAGTGAGACACTTAGTGAGAAACTGGGTGGTGAGACACCGCTAGTGAGACACTGCTAGTGAGACACCGCTAGTGAGACACTGCTAGTGAGACAAGGCCATACAGATGGCCACTGCGATCTCTGGTGTAGGCCAATCAGTTTCAAAGACAATGCCTATAACATCATCGTTGTTATTATAATTGTTGTATGAGCCACGTGAGTTTGAATGTTCACCACAAGCGCCGTGCGTGTGGTTCATTCAGATACTTGATGATGGCCTTGCAACGAGTTTCTATTGTGGGGTTTGAGCATCCTGACACAACTGCTGTTTGATTTGCCCGACAGGGTAAGGACTATTCTTTATTTTTCATACTTTGATATTGGCACAAAGGTATTCGGTGATAACAAAATAAAAATATTTTTATTTTTAAAAAGTACTATCCGGTGATAATACAAATATAAAAAAAATATATATGCGTGTATTATTTCATTGTTTCCCTTCTACGTGGTGGTGACTTTACCGAAAGAACCAAGAATATGAATCCCTGCAGTCACGAAAGCTTTAAATCAAAACAAAAACAATAGTTGATTGAATTTTCCGCTTATACGATTTTTACGAGGCCTACGTTGCTCTTGCTGTTTCTGTTTCTCTCTCCCATAGTTTCAAAATTAAATCTGTGGCACACAGCCGCGCCCCCCACATCGAATTAAGGGGCACGGGCGAAGTAATGATGAAACGTATCAGCAGTGGAGACGTCTCGCCCAGCGGTTGGACGAAGGAACTGCGTAAGATACGCGTGGAGTGGCAGCGGTGACGGTAGTGGTAGTCACATGGGCAGCAGGAAAACAGCCACCCAATCACTCACCCAGCCACCCACTCACCCAGCCACTCAGCTACCCACTCACCCACTCACACAGCCACTCACTCAGCTACCCACTCACCCAGCTACCCACTCACCCAGCCACCCAGCTACCCACTCACCCAACCACCCACTCACCCAGCCACCCACTCACACAGCCACCCACTCACTCACCCAGCCACCCACTCACACAGCCACCCACTCACTCACCCAGCCACCCACTCACCCAGCCACCCAGCTACCCAGCCACCCACTCACCCAGCCACCCACTCACCCAGTCACGCAGCTACCCAGCCACCCACTCACCCAGCCACCCACTCACCCAGTCACGCAGCTACCCAGCCACCCACTCACCCAGCCACCCACTCACCCAGCCACCCACTCACTCACCCAGCCACTCAGCTACCCAGCCACCCACTCACCCAGCCACCCACTCACCCAGCCACCCACTCACCCAGCCACCCAGCTACCCAGCCACCCACTCACCCAGCCACCCACTCACCCAGCCACCCAGCTACCCAGCCACCCACTCACACAGCCACCCACTCACTCACCCAGCCACCCACTCACCCAGCCAACCAGCTACCCAGCCACCCACTCACCCAGTCACCCAACTACCCAGCCACCCACTCACCCAGCCACCCACTCACCCAGCCACCCACTCACCCAGCCACCCAGCTACCCAGCCACCCACTCACCCAGCCACCCAGCTACCCAGCCACCCACTCACCCAGCCACCCACTCACCCAGCCACCCAGCTACCCAGCCACCAACTCACCCAGCCACCCACTCACCCAGTCACCCAACTACCCAGCCACCCACTCACCCAGCTACCCAGCCATCCACTTGCTCACCCAGCTACCCAGCCACCCAATCACCCAACCACCCACTCACCCAGCCACTCATTCACCCAGCCACCCACTCATTCACCCACTCACTCACCCACTCACTCACCCACTCACTCACCCACTTATTCACCCACTCACTCACCCAGCCACCCACTCATTCACCCACTCATTCACCTACTCACTCACCTACTCACTCACCCACTCATTCACCCACTCACCCAGCCACCCAATCACTCAGCCACTCATTCACCCACTCATTCACCCGCTCAACCAGCCACCAACTCATTCACCCACTCACTCACCCACTCACTCACCCACGCATTCACCCATTCACAGAGCCACACACTCACTCAGCCACCCACTCACCCAGCCACCCACTCACCCAGTCACCCAGCCACCCACTCACCCAGCCACACACCCACTCACCCAGGCACCCAGCCACCCACTCACTCTTCCACTCACTCATTCACCCACTCACTCACTCATTCATCCACTCACCCAGCAACCCACTCACCCACTCACTCACCCAGACACTCACTCACCCAGCCACCCACTCACCCAGCCACCCACTCACCCAGCCACCCACTTACCCAGCCACCCACTCACTAATTCATTCACTCATTCACCCACTCACCAGGGCCCTATCACACAATAGGCCGCAGTAGGCACTGTCTCTAAGGCCGACTCACTCAGCCACCCACTCACCTAGCCAACCACTCACTCACCCAGCCACCCACTCACCTAGCCACCCACTCACCTAGCCACCCACTCACTCACCCAGCCACCCACTCACCTAGCCACCTAGCCACCCACTCACTCACCCAGCCACCCACTCACCTAGCCACCCACTCACTCACTCATTCACCCACTCACCCAGGCACCCACTCACCCACTCACTCATTCACCCACTCACCCAGGCACCCACTCACCCAGCCACCCACTCACCTAGCCACCTAGCCACCCACTCACTCACTCAGCCACCCACTCACCTAGCCACCCACTCACTCACCCAGCCACCCACTCACCTAGCCACCCACTCACCTAGCCACCCACTCACTCACCCAGCCACCCACTCACCTAGCCACCCACTCACTCACTCATTCACCCACTCACCCCGCCACCCACCCACTCACTCATTCACCCACTCACCCAGGCACCCACTCACCCAGCCACCCACTCACTCTCCCATTCACTCACTCATTCACCCAATCACCCACTCACTACTGACTCACCCACTCTCTCACCACCCACACACTCACTCACTCTTGCTGAAACGTCACTATGGATACTGCCTCTTTATCCCGGACTGGGACCTCATCCCAGCCAATAGTCACCGCTCGCTCACTCACCCATACTCACTCACTCACCCACTCACTCACTCACCCACTCACTGACCCACTCACTCACTCACCCACTCACTGACCCACTCACTCACTCACCCACTCACTCACCCACTCACTCACTCATCACTCACTCACTCGCTCACTCACTCACTCACCCACTCACTCACTCACTCACCCACTGACCCACCCACTCACCCACTCACTCACTCATCACCCACTCACTCGCTCACCCACTCACTCACTCACCCACTGACTCAACCACTCACTCCCTCAGTCACTCACTCACCCACTCACTTACATAGTCAATCACTCACTCACCCACTCACGCATTCACCCACTCACCCAGCAACCCACTCACTCGCTCACTCACCCACTCACCCAGCCACCCACTTACCCAGTAACCCACTACACTATACACTACTATACACTACTACAAACCTGTCAACCCCTTGTCAGTGTCTACTTTATAACAGACCAATTCAGACTACCATACACTATACACTACACTATACACTACTATACACTACACTACTATACACTATAGTACACTACTGTCAACTACACTACTATACACTACACACTACACTACTATACACTACACTACTATACACTACACTATACACTGCACTATACACTACACTACTATACACTACACTATACACTACACTATACACTACACTACTATACACTACACTACTATACACTACTATACACTGTACTACTATACACTACTATACACTGCACTACTATACACTACACTATACACTACACTACTATACACTACACTATACACTACACTACTATACACAACTATACACTGCACTACCCTACTACACACTACTATACACTACACTACTATACACTACACTACTATACACTATACTAGACACTACACTATACACTACACTATACACTACACTATACACTACACTATACACTACACGACTATACACTACACTATACACTACTATACACTACACTATACACTACATTACTATACACAACACTACTATACACTACACTACTATACACTACACTACTATACACTACACTATACACTACACTACTATACACTACACTATACACTACACTATACACTACACTACTATCCACTACACTATACACTACACTACTATACACTACACTACTATACACTACTATACACTACACTATACACTACACTACTATACACTATACACTACACTACTATACACTACACTATACACTACACTATACACTACACTACTAGACACTACACTACTATACACTACACTACTATACACTACACTACTATACACTATACTAGACACTACACTATACACTACACTATACACTACACTACTATACACTACACTATACACTACTAGACACTACACTGCAATTTAGAGAGAAAAAGAAAACAAAAAACCGTTGTCCGCAACGTCCAGCCGCCGCGCCGACAGAGGCAACCGCCCAAGTTTTTCCGCATGCCGGTGGTCACGTGACGCCACGTAGCTGCTCCGTTAAACCAAAAGACAAATCGACAATAAAGTAATGTTTAACTTTACTCCCACGGCGCTAAAGCAAACACGGAGACCGAAGGTCGACGCCGACGTGGTGGCCCTTTACGCGATATTTATATTAATAAAATAAGGAATCCCCGCGGTGTGTGTGTGTTTCTTTTTTTGTTCGTTCGAGCCTCACCGGCCTCGCCTTGATCGGCCGCCGGCTTTGATGCGAGGGAGGCGGCGGAGGTTCGGGTCGTACGGCGCTGGTCCGGAACCAGGCCTCAGTTGGAGAAAATGATTTAAAAGTTAACGAATATTAACCCGCGCAAATGATGCCTCGGGACCGCCCTTAATTAACGATTTCTTTTGTTTTTAAAACAACAACAGAAGAGTGAATGGAAGACGCAGGCATTGGATCGGTCGGCCAAATGAAGGACAGGCGAGTTTAGTACTTAACACGCTTGCAGACACGTGGAGTTTAAAGTTTTTAAACGATGTGCAGAGCTAACAACGTTGACGAATGCCTAACAAAGGGCAAAAGCTTGGCTCCGAGAGCCCCGGTGATTAACACTGAACCCTGTGGGAGCCTTAGTCTGGCTCTGTGAGCCTCAGTGATTAACACTGAACCCTGTGGGAGCCTTAGTCTGGCTCTGTGAGCCCCGGTGATTAACACTGAACCCTATGGGAGCCTTAGTCTGGCTCTGTGAGTCTCGGTGATTAACACTGAACCCTGTGGGAGGGAGCCTTAGTCTGGCTCTGTGAGTCTCAGTCTGGCTCTGTGAGCCTCAGTGATTAAATTGAACCCTGTGGGAGCCTTAGTCTGGCTCTGTGAGTCTCAGTGATTAACACTGAACCCTGTGGGAGCCTTAGTCTGGCTCCGAGAGCCCCGGTGATTAACACTGAACCCTGTGGGAGCCTTAGTCTGGCTCTGTGAGTCTTAGTGATTAACACTGAACCCTGTGGGAGCCTTAGTCTGGCTCTGTGAGCCACAGTGATTAACACTGAACCCTGTGGGAGCCTTAGTCTGGCTCTGTGAGCCTCAGTGATTAACACTGAACCCTGTGGGAGGCTCAGTCTGGCTCCGAGAGCCCCGGTGATTAACACTGAACCCTGTGGGAGCCTTAGTCTGGCTCTGTGAGTCTCAGTGATTAACACTGAACCCTGTGGGAGCCTTAGTCTGGCTCTGTGAGCCTCAGTGATTAACACTGAACCCTGTGGGAGCCTTAGTCTGGCTCTGTGAGTCTCACTGGTTAACACTGAACCCTGTGGGAGTTTTAGTCTGGCTCTGTGAGCCTCGGTGATTAACACTGAACCCTGTGGGAGCCTTAGTCTGGCTCTGTGAGTCTCAGTGATGAACACTGAACCCTGTGGGAGCCTCAGTCTGGCTCTGTGAGTCTCAGTGATTAACACTGAACCCTGTGGGAGCCTTTGTCTGGCTCTGTGAGCCTCAGTGATTAACACTGAACCCTGTGGGTGCCTTAGTCTGGCTCTGTGAGTCTCATTGATAAACACTGAACCCTGTGGGAGCCTTAGTCTGGCTCTGTGAGCCTCAGTGATTAACACTGAACCCTGTGGGAGCCTTAGTCTGGCTCTGTGAGCCTCAGTGATTAACACTGAACCCTGTGGGAGCCTTAGTCTGGCTCTGTGAGTCTTAGTGATTAACACTGAACCCTGTGGGAGCCTTAGTCTGGCTCTGTGAGCCACAGTGATTAACACTGAACCCTGTGGGAGCCTTAGTCTGGCTCCGAGAGCCCCGGTGATTAACACTGAACCCTGTGGGAGCCTTAGTCTGGCTCTGTGAGCCTCAGTGATTAATACTGAACCCTGTGGGAGCCTTAGGCTGGCTCTGTGAGCCTCAGTGATTAACACGGAACCCTGTGGGAGCCTTAGTCTGGCTCTGTGAGCCTCGGTGATTAACACTGAACCCTGTGGGAGCCTTAGTCTGGCTCTGTGAGCCTCAGTGATTAACACTGAAACCTGTAGGAGCCTCAGTCTGGCTCTCTGAAGCCTCAGTGATTAACACTGAACCTTGTGGGAGCCTTAGTCTGGCTCTGTGAGCCTCAGTGATTAACACTGAACCCTGTGGGAGTCTTAGTCTAGCTCTCTGAGCCTCAGTGATTGACACTGAACCCTGTGGGAGTCTCAGTGATTAACACTGAACCTTGTGGGAGCCTTAGTCTGGCTCTGTGAGCCTCAGTGATTAACACTGAACCCTGTGGGAGCCTTTGTCTGGCCCTGTGAGTCTCAGTGATGAACACTGAATCCTGTGGGAGCCTCAGTCTGGCTCTGTGAGTCTCAGTGATTAACACTGAACCCTGTGGGAGCCTTAGTCTGGCTCTGTGAGTCTCAGTGATTGACACTGAACCCTGTGGGA